TATATATATATATATATATATATATATATGTACACTCGAGACGTATATACTGTTATATTTTACGTATCGATCTCAATGTTTTATTCAATCCGTGTGTCGTCCAGGATGACACGTTAGTAAGATCTCATCGCTCCTTATGTCGTGGTTCGTCGTATCCGAGAAACGTATAATCGCTGGAAAAAGCGTATTTTAAGCTCGCACGCTTAAGAGGAATCTCATATAGATATTTCGCGATAAATGATTGGCGCGAGAGAGATATATTAGCAAAGCGCTCGGATACCTCGAACCAATTAAGGACGATCGTTTTTTGAAGTCAGCGAAAGTTTTATATTTATCCTATTATATCGAAGTTACGAGACGCCCGTGAAGAGAAACATTTGCGTTCTAGCGTGGCAAATGTTTATCACATGATATTACACACACATACACACACACACAAACGATGCTTTCTGCTTGACTAGATCCATGTTACCAGGCTCTGGAGAAGGAAGGTGAGACGGTTCTCGGCGCACATATTCAGTATACGCACTTTACTTTTTCTAATTTCGCGAAATATGCAAAATAGAATAATGCGAAAATTCCTAAAGTCTGGTAGCATCGTCCTAAGATGGCTTAGAGAGCAAGAGATATATATATATATATATATATATTTTTAGGAGAGCATAATAAATAAATTTCGAGAACGCGCCGACAAATTTGGTTGACAGAAACAGGTGGGAGGAGAAGGGAAGAAGAACAAGGTACTCTCGAGACGAGTGAAAAGGAGACACGACAAATTAGTCTAAGGATTTAGTTGGGAAATCTACGGAGCGGCAAAAGCGACAACACCTGAACCAGTTGTACGGTTAGTTATTATTAACGTATAGTTAAGACGAAGAGGCTTATAGACTGTTGTATATACTAGAACAAAGAGTATTACTGATGCTACTATTATTTTTTAGAGATACACAATAAATAAGTTATATGTATACTTTTTCGTTTCGACCCGCATAACTTCCGTTTCTTACTGTGAACCGTGCGAGAATCGCGTCGTTCGTCTCGTTAGGTCGATACGCTTCACTAAAGTCCTCCTCATAGTGGGAAGCAATCTCAGAGGTTATGGCCAGCCAGATTTGTCTCAAAAAGATCACGTAGGGAGGAAAATATGTAATCAAAAAAAAAAAAAAAAAAAAAAAAAAACGAATTAA